AACACGAAGAGTAAAATACCTGTAACAGCTGAAACCAAAATCTGCAACTCCAAACATCAAGAAATGATCCGATTGACCACCCGAAACTCCCCCGAGGCCCTCGAGACCTCAACCAAAGGCACAAACATATCCCAAAACCTTGTTCAAACTTGTACAAATCTTCAAAACACCTCAAACAATATCAAATCAACCAAAACACATCGGATTCAAGCTTAAGTTTCCAAAATCTTTCGAATTTCGCTTTTGATCAAAAACCCAACCAAACCACGTCTGAATGACCTAATACTTTGCACACACATCCCAAATGATACAACGAAGCTACTTCAACTCTCGGAATTCCATTCCGAACCCTATATCAAAATCTCGCCTACTAACCGGAAATCGCCAAAATATCAACTTCGCCAATTCAAGCCTAAATCTACTCCGAACCTCCAAAACTCATTCTGATCATGCTCCTAAGTCCCAAATCACCTCCCAAAGCTATCTGAACGATCGAAACTCACATCCGAGCCCTAAAACACATAAGTCAACATCTGGTTGACTTTTCTAACTTAAGCTTCCCTCAAAAGAGATTAAGTGTCTCAAACCTTACCAAAATCATTCCGGATTCGATCCGACCAACCCGATACCACATAACACGTATAAACAAAGCATAAAGAAGCAGAAATAGGGGAAACGGAGTGGTAATTCATGAGACGACTGGTCGGTCGTCACAAATTGGGCAGAATTATTTTGAAAAAAAATCGCTAGCATTTCGGCGCTTTTTGGACGTTTAGAAAGAAAAAGAAGAAGAAGAATGAAAATCAAAAGTGCAGAACATACATGTTGAAAGTTGTTGTTGTATTGTTGAAGAAGAAGAAGAAGAACCCTAGTTTGAAGAAGAGAAATCGTTGTTGTTGTTTGAATTTAATGAAGAAAAGAGGAAGAAATCGCTGATGTTGTTTGAAGAACCCTAGTTTCTCGCTGTTGTTGAAGTCTCGAAGAAGTCGAAAAAGTCCGGATTGTTTAGAATACCAAGTTTTTAATAAAATAGGGCTTTGGATATTTTAAACAAAGAAGCGGACGCTTCTCTCGCTTCACCACTTCTTGCTTTTTGCAGAGAAGCGGTCTCTTTTTCGTACCAGAGTCGCTTTTAATGGTAGAAGCGATAAACCGTGCGCTCCGCTTCTCTTCTCCCTTAAAGCGAGGAAGCGCTCGCTTTTTTAATCACTGCTTATTACTAATTTAATTTGAAAACGTATTATATTGTCCAAATCCATTTAGAAACATGAGAGTCTATATAATATTATAAAAGTACAAATAGAAGAACTCATAAGAAAATGATATAGCTATAATAACTTATTTTTTAGACTATAATAATTTCTATGTTAATTTTTTTAATAATTAATATTTTAAAATTAATACAATTTTGTCTATTAAATTCTACTAAAAATATATATGAAGGTTTAATAAAATCAATTTCATATGAGTCCTCCATATTGGTAATTCATTACCACTCTATAATATTCAATACCAAAAAAAAGTAATATTAAACGGACTGCATAAAGCGTTGAAATTGAGAAAATATTCTCACGATAATATATTATTATATTATATTTAAACTACTTTCATACTCAAATAATATTTTGTTATTATTAATTTTTCGTGTTATATTGAAAAATATACCCAATTATTAAAGAATAACTAAAAAATTTAAGAATATAAATATGTGAGAAAGAGAAAGAAAAAGGTTAATAAGAGTCAATACCACTAATGATTTTCCAAACATAAAGATCTAAAAGTGGAACTTCAGATCTATCTTTTTACTCTTTGAAAATAAAATTTATAGTGGATAAAATTATAGTTACGGTTAAATATTCAAACATGAGATGAACTAATATTAATAACTAGAATCAACAGAAAACAAATTATTTTTTATGTTAAACTTAAATAATCAAATCTTTCAATTAATTATTTAGCAAGAGAATCTAATTAAATTATTCTTCAAATTCATCATATGAGTAAAATTATTTTTCAATTTAAAAAAAAAATCTTAGGGTACATAAAGTTATTCCATAAAGAAAGTGTTAGAGATTAAAAAATTAGATCACAAAGTAAAAACGGTTAGTAGAATATTAAGAAGGCCATACAAGTGTTGGAGGAAGCATAATTAAAGCTAAATCCTGAACAAGAATAAGCTTTCAAGACTATATTATAAAAAGTCGACTCTCGTATAGCGGGATTATCCTTTGTAGATGCCTCCGGCGGAATCGAAATAATATTCGTATGTCATGCATTACTTGCAAATATCATATCAAGTGGCATGATATTTTTAGCAATAAGAACAAGTGGTGTAGCATCAACGATTTTATTATGAGGTAGTATAATTCACTTTAGATTTGATATACCTCTTCAAATAACTGAAATAGGCATCACAAATATATCAAAGCAGGGCAATAGTGCTAAATTTATAATGAAAATAAAAGTGATAATATGGGATGAAAGCGCTTTTGGCTAAGCGTCAAGCGATTGAAATAATTGTCCAGAGTTTTAGAGATATATTGGGTATCAATGAACTGTTTGATGGAAAAGTAATAGTTTGGAAGGTGATTTATGTCAAGTATTATTAATAGTTCCAAAATTGATGAATTCAAAAACTGTAAAAGCTAGCTTGCCAAAATTATACTTATGACCTAAAATGAAAATATTTAAATGACAAGAAATATAAAAGTAAGAACAAACCAACATTTAATGACTTCTTGCTTCGTGTCAGAAACAAAGAAGAGCATCCAATAAAAGGTGATTTGGTTTTTCTAGAACACTTCATTATCAACCTCAATAGTAATAGTAGTGCATTTAATAAGGAAAATATTTTCATCATTAGATTAAAACGCAATTTATAGAAATCACGTGATAGAAATTGAAGAGTTATCTTAGCTAGCAGAAATGAATATGTTGATCAACTAATTAATAAAAGATTGATTGCTAAGTTTTATGGTAAAAACGGAATATTTTTTAGTTTTGACTCACCAAAAGATGATACCAACAATTACTATCAAGAAGAATACTTAAATACTTTAATACCAAATGGTCTTCTACCCCACATATTTGTTGTCAAGTTCATTATTTCTTACGTATGTTAGTGTACATATATACAATAGACTAAGTTAAAATTGATCTTCCATTGAATATATGTTGATTTTGAAGAAAAATATGCATGTCATGATACTGAAAACTTTCCGCTGAATAGCTTATGTAATAGTACGCATATGGTATATCGAAGTTTTGACAATAACGTCATACATACAGAACTTATGATATTGGTCAGTGTGCTTCTAAGTATGTGTTTATCCCCGAATTCAACTTTCGTCTTCCGCAACTAAAACATATCCTTTTAAATTTGTGTGAAAATAATTTTTAGTATGTTTTGTAGTTATAATAAATAAAGCACAAAGACAAACATCCTAAATATTGGACTGCATTTATAATAATATAGACAACAAGAGTTCTGGTAATGGCAGAGAAACCAAAGCATTAGAAGGAAACATACAAAAAAAACATTGTTTATAAAAAAGTGTTCGGTAAGATACCATCACATTAGATACCTTTAATTACAATACATAATTATCCACTTAACATGACTAAAATTGATCATTTGTGTATGTTCTGATGATATCCTTTCATTTTGAATTCATGTATTATGCTAATGTAATAATATTTTTCGGCATTTAGATGATTGTTGTATTATTATATATAAAAAAATCTTATTAGTTAAATTTTATTGCTCCTTTATATAATAAATATTAAAACCATTATTAACGTGCAACGCACGTTTATAGATACTAGCAGGGGTGGATTTAGGGGGGGCGCAAGGGAGTGCACCCGAACACCCTTCGCCGAAAAATTACACTGTATATATAAGGCAAAATCTATTTTTTATTTCTATATATTAAGTTTTGAACACCCTTAACACAATTCAAAAGTGTAGTTTAGTGGTCAAGGGGTTCAAAATCTATATAAGGTCATGAATTCAATTCTCACTAGCTACAAAAGAAAAAAAAAATTGAACCCCCTTCGTGAAGATCCTGTCTCCGCCACTGAATACTAGTAAGTAGAAAGCAACAATGAACCAAGGTTTGTTGACAAGACAAGTTGTTCCAGTTGAAAAGCTTCTATCTATATCAGAAAAGGAGGAGGCAAACAGCGAAAATTGAACTCATACTAATCGTCGTGGAATGCATACGTGATATGCCCTTTTAAAAATAGGGGCGACTTTCTCGTAGATAATTGCGAATAAACAAGTAGGGGTCGGCAATTAAAGAAATAGGACTAACCTTAATTTTAGGGATAGGTTTACTTCTTATTTTTGTTATAGAAAATGTCAATCATTATAGGTTTTCACAAATACCAATTGTAAGCTTTGATGGTGGATGGAGATGGTTGAGACTTCCCAATTCCCAAAAAAAAGGTTTCTTTAGAACATAAGAACAAATTTAGGTTTCATTTAATTTTACTTTGAGATTGATTTGAATCTAAATTTTGATTAGACGATCTAAATTATAATTGAAGAGCTTCATGCTTGTTGATCTTAAATGGCTCTAATATTGATAAAGAATGCAGCCTTTGTTTCATCTGCAAAATTCTCCATTTAGGCAGTTCAAGCTATAATTAAAAGGAGAACTGAAAATAAAAGACTATCTAGGCTGAAGAAGCCCTTTTCTATTTTTCTGTTGATATTGCTTGTATATTCGTGATGAGACAAAGACTTCCTATTAGTACAGATAACAAATATGGTGTAGGAAACATAACAAAGTCATCTTTAAAGTAGTCAACGGAATTTCTTTTAGGTTACGGGTTCGAGCCTCACTAATACTTGCATTAGGGTAGACTGTCTACGTCACCTTCCCCGGCCTCCGCAGAATGCGAGATGCTTTGTACACCGGAATGCCTTTTTTTATCTTATAATCAAAGAAAGCACACCAAGTCCAAAACAAATCTAATAATTTTCAGTAGGAAGTCTATTATGGTAAGATACTAGTAATTTTTATTGGAACTGAATTCAAAGACATAAAAGTTTAAAGGTTATTGCAAGATTACAATCTCTGCAACTTTCTTAAAATCCTGAAAAATATATATCTTATGATCTGAAGATCTTAAGGGAGTGATTTACGCACGAGAAACCACCATCAACCATCAGATTATGCCCACTTATATACCTCGCTTCATCGCTAGCTAAGAACAGAACGGCATTAGCAACATCCTGAACTAGCAAATCGACGCCCTGCAAGTTAGCTAACTTGCCAAAATAAGCATGAAAATCCGCGATTGCATCATCATTCCTTTGATCCTCTGGCAAGTGAGCCAGGCCCAATCCAGTTGCAACAGCGTAAGGAGAAACGCAGTTCACACGTATACCATGTTGCCCCAACTCAGCAGCCACATTTTTTGTAAGTCCCGAAATAGCATGCTTGGAAGTTGTATAAGCATGAGGCGCAGCGCCAGCAATAGCACTTGCTGCACTGCTCAAAGATACTATCGATCCCTTCTTTCGTGGAATCATTATGCGAGCCGCGTGTTTCATTCCAAGGAAAACACCTTTCACATTCACATCAAGCACATTATCGAAGACAGAAAGTTCATAATCGCGGATATCTGTATAAGTTGGCCCTGTCAATCCAGCATTATTAACCAATATATCAAGCGTACCAAATTTTTGAACAGCAAAATCGACTGCCTGACTAATATCAGCTTCTGCAGTAACATCACAGTGGATAAAACATGCACTTTTGTCATCACCAAGGGATTCACAAACGCGCTGTCCAAGTTCATCTTGAATATCAGCAATGCATACTTTTGCACCATTTTTGTGAAATAAACGTACTATACCCTCTCCTATACCACTTGCACCTCCGGTGATTAAAGCGACTCTTCCAAATAGCCTGATATATCAGATGAAATTACAACATATCGACTACAATACTATGATACAAAAGCATTTTCATAAGAATTCTGAGCAAATGAACTTAGAAAAAAGCATAAAGAAGAGAACTTTGATAGAAAATCATGCCACTTTATCAAAGTCATTATTAATTCCTAGGACATTTATGTAGTTCTCATCCTCTTCTGGTTGATTTGTCACTATGATTAACAACAGGATCTCGATTTAGTAGCACTGCTGTGACAAATTTGTGCTGCTTTCTCTGACACTTAGTTTTCAGAAAATCAGAGAGTTCAATTTCTGCTAGTTAAGCCAATACTAAGAGAAAACTGATACTAGTTATTTGGAGTGCAAATGGACAATTGTTAGTTGGTGTTACAAAGTGTGGGAGTACAATGAATTTCTCAAGAGAGCAATATACTCAGCTTCAAGAATTTGTTCTTTTTCTAAATATGCTTGTATTTTTACTAATACAAAGTTCAGTGGCAGATGTAGCGTAGCGCAGAATATGGATAGACATAGTGACTTTTTAGCTGATAAGACTAAGTTGAGTAATTTTTATGTGACAAAAAAAAAACAATGTAATTGAAGATAAAATTTGAATGATTTCAGATAGTAGAAGGAACAAATTTGGACATTTTTACCGTAACAAATGAACCAAAACATGAGCATTTCAAAAGAAAAAGTTCACAATGTGAAAGCCAAAGAAGAAGAGAAGGCATCAACCAAATTCTCAAACAAAACACAAGAAACTAACGAAATATTCTATCTGAAAGAAGTATATTTGACAAAACTAGTAGTAGTAAGAATTCTCAAAGCAGAACCTTTGGTTGGAAAGAGAACTTTCAGAGCTTCCTTTGACTTCCATGGCGGCAAGTTCCGTAGCTTCTTGTTGGAAAAAGATGATCTAGAATAAATAATAAAACAGATATTTTAGTAAGAATGTGTTGAGTATGATTTTCACAGAAGAATAGGAATTAGTCCCATTTATAGAGCGCTAGTACTATGCTACGTTCAGTGGCTATTCGTGATAGAATGGACCACGTGGGAGCTAGATTGCCGAATGGAAGCCGTTTGAAATCTTTTTGTGGGAGGATACAGTTAGACTTGACACAAGGTTTAAAAAGAAAAAATTTAAAGGGTAAAAGTTTTGTAGGACTATGTTATTTGTATGATTATAAAAAAAATTCATTAATAATAAAGTGGGTAAAATAAAAAGTTTAAAATTAAATTCTTTCTAAATATAAAATGTGTCATATTTTTGGAACGAACTAATAAGGAAAATGTGTCATTTAAATCGAAACGGAGCAAGTATACAACAACTACACCTCAATCAACAAAGTGAGTGTGGACTGTGGATTATAAGAATTTTCACACTATATTTTTTCATTTAAATTCATCGCGAGCCAATATTATATAAAACAGAAATACGAATAAAAGTAACTATGTCTTTTTCATTAGCATAAAAATCTCAAATAGGACCAAAAAAAAAAAATCCTACGGAACAGAGACCCAAACCAAAGGTACTAATATGACTAAATTCAATATATGAAGGAGGAAAATAAAAAGGAAAATGGCCAAATATATTCTTTTACTTTCGGATATTGTCTATATTTAACCTCCGTTATACTATCCGGATAAATTTATCCCTACCGTTATATTCTCCGGTCAAATTTATCCCTATCATCAGCAAACTTTTAAAAATTACCCCTTGATCTGTTAAGTAATCCAAACTCTCCCAATTTTCATTTATTTATATCACTTGTTCCTTTTGCTCCAATATTTTTCAGAAATTACTATTGATGTGAATGCTAAAGGTGTTAGATTATACAAATTATTCATGGGTATTTTTAATTACCAATGCACCCACTTTTCTTCTTGTGATAACGAATTTGGAATTGATTTAAAATTTTATTTATTTTTCAACCATATACACACTATAGAATTCAACACGTCTATTTATTGTATATTATATGCAGCTGATCATCATGTATGTACATGTCTATTTATTGTGTATTATATGCAGCTGATCATTATTTATGTACATGTATATTCGAATATATTTTGATTGCCCGGTTAGTATAGAATTCAATCGACTAACTTAAGAGTGCATAATGAGTAGGCATTTGATTAAAGCAAAGTTGAATTCAACATTGTAAAGTCTCTAAGGAACTTCAACTTCTATCACTAATACTTGCAGTCTTCATACCTTTGGTGCAACGAATTCATTAAAGTTAGGGTGATGTAAATACTTTTGGAATTTAGACAAGCTACCTAATTTAGATTCTTTAATTTACTATACTTTGTTTACTAACTGTTGTATTATTTTACTATTTCTTTCTCTTATTTTTTTCTCAATTAAGAAAACATGTAAATGTCAATTATTTCGAAAATAGTGGATCAAGAAGAAGAATAAGTGACTTAATTAAAATAATTTGGGAGATTCTGGATCACTTGAAGGACTGAAGGGTAATTTTTAAAAGTTTGCTGATGATAGGGGTAAATTTGGCCGGATAGTATAATGAAGGTTAAATATAAACAATATACGAAAGTAGAGGGATATATTTAGTCATTTTCCCAAAAAAAAATGGACTCATGTATCCATATAAAACGTTAGACACGAGGGGGGGGGGGGACAAAGATATTGGTGTACAAGGTGGAAGGCAAAGTATGTATTAAGTCCAAAGAGAGTTTAGGAATAAAATGATAAACGCTTAATCAAATCAAAAGTGCTTATAAACTAGAAACTATATATGTTTGGAATGATCAACATACGATTTATTGTTGATTTTGGCTTATAAACATTTTGGTATGTATCAATAGTGTATAATAGCGTATATAGGCCAAAACTTATAAACAGTTTGACCAAATTTAAAAGTTTACCCAAAAACCAAATGTATGAGCATTCAGTTTTTCAGGTAGTAGATCACTTAGCATTTTTTATTTCTAATTACATTGGACTAGTTTCTGCAATACAAAAGAGAATACATAAGAAAGTTTCATTAATTGGTTGCCGACATTGACTATATGACAAAGAGCTAATTGCGCACGAATTGTTTCTTATGTACCTACTTGCGTAGATAGCCCTTTAGGCATCTAGAGCCAAACATTCGACTAACTAATTTGGTCCATTGAATTAGAGATCAACAATANTCTAGCCATCAAATATTAATATCTCAGGAAGTCGCTCCATATTGGATGTCATTGCCATTAAGATTCGGCTCCAGCTTTCCTGCTTTTATGGCTGATATACATGAATACCTATACAAGCTCAAGCGAATTTCAGTGCTTCAACGTTTACTGCATATATCTATATCACATGAAGACACACAAGCTCCCTACAAATTTATATGTCCATATTTGGTTCATCCTGTCTAGGGAAAAAGAGGACCAGAAATCTCTTAACAAAAAAAATGAAGATAAAATATAATTATGAAAACAATGGACGTGCAGACCCCGGAGAAAGAAAACTGACATTCAAGAATTTGAATATAGACAATAGATTAGTCAGCCAAAACCAGAAAAGCCCATGATCAACGTGACAACGCTACCTATTAAAGCCTCAAAATTCACTTGTGTCGACTGATAGTTGAGCAAAAGGCATGTGCCGAAACCAGCTTCCCACATAATATCATCTGCAGCACCTCAATTGTTGCCTCCTACATGAAAATCAGCCATGAAACCTTCTATAAGGAGCTAAAATTACATTATCTTGCAAGAACAAGTTCTTTCATTCCCACTCTCAAATTCATCATCTGATTCACCATCATCACTGCAATCACAGTACATGAAAGTAAGCACAAAAGACTTGCATACTTTGCACGATGAAAGAATCTGTATAAAACTGAACATAGGAAAGCAAGTGACTTTTCACCAGACGAGAGATTCACATATAACAAACACACAATATTTCAGGAAAAATTATACATGCATTCTTGTTTAAAGATGTAGGAAGTGTTTGTTATGAAAAAGACAGTCCTCGGACAAAAGCTTCTACTCTCTATGAATCGGTAAGCGCTTATTTTTGACAAGTATGAATCAGTAAGCACATATGAATATGTGGAATATAAGTTGAGCATATTTGTAAACTAATATCCTCATTTGCTTTACCTTGTCTTTAAAATTTGCAAGCAATTCTACTAATCCAAAGAACAAAAATGATATCAATTCAGACCTAAAGAGCTCTGCGGTGCCGAGGAAAATCATAGAATATTCTTTTTGTCGTGTAATCAAAAAGCCAAAACTAAAGCCCGTTGGAGTTGTCTCACATATCTGAGAGAAACAGAGAATCATAGTTCTTAGATTTTGACCAAAAAAAAACAAATAGTAAACCCATAATTGTGCAGATGAGGAGGAAAAGTAGTCCTCAACCGCACATGTACAACTAATAAACAACTCTGATCTTATACTTCCAAATGAATAAATTCAGCCTGAAATCCCTTTCTAACCAACCGCATCTTCTGTTGAATTACATCCTAACTATTTACTGTTCCAACTGAAAACTACACGCCTACCTCTTTTAGTATCTTTCCTACTGAAAACTACATGCTTACCTCATTTAGTAGTGCCATTAATAAGGCCCTTTCTCATAGTGGACAACTGATACAACTTTTTACTTCTCAAGGCAACATCTCTTCTGTTCTACTTTCTATCCCTTGTTTTGGAAAGAAATGGAATATCTATGGAATTAACAACAAACCAAGTAGATATCTTTTAGGGAGTCTGTTTCTCTTCTCCAGAACGTTTATTGCACGTGTAAAATCTTAGATGACTACAGGCCAGGATCATAATTTAGTCAATCAACAAATGTTGGACCAAAAAAAAAAACTGATTCTTGTGCTCGCCTAATGACTTCTAAGATCACTAGCATAAAAAAGAAACAACAAACAAGATGAGCAAAAGATTTGCTGCAATTGTAGAAAAGCAATACTTCGAGTTGCTAAACTTTAGATATGACATCTAGATATTTAAAGGCATCTATTCTGCATGTCCACATAAAAATTATTATCTCTGGCACCTTCTATATTTTACCACAATTGAACACCAGAAATTTTAAGCAAACCGTAAATACTGGGGGGGGAAATTTTGAAAATGATAAGCAGTTTGCAGCATTGTGGGATATTATAGTTTATAAAGCTACAATGAAAGGACCCAGTCTTATCAAATTTATCTTGTGCCTTGAAACTGTAATTCACAAGAATAATAGAAAGATGTTGCCACCTGCCGGATGTCAGAGACACGAACCGGAACTTCTAATCCTATCACCAAATTAACATCATGCCAACTAGTCAAGGTACACAGCAATAAGTTGAATAATATGTATTTAAGCACCTAAGCCTTACTTAAGATATTTCAAGAACTTTTAAGGCAGTCAATTCATTTCACGATATATCAAATTCCCCATCTAACATGATACTCTTAGCTATTTTGAACAGCCACAAATATATATTTGGTACTAAATCACTAAATCCATTTAAAGTTTGAATGAGATTAATCATTAGCAAAATAGTTTACAATGGGAAAGTAGAATACAAAACAGCAAGAAACAAACGTCAGACTAAAGATGAAGAAACTGAAGCTCATACCTAGGCTCAAATTCCCTTATCTCAAAAAGCTCTCCTCCAGATGTGTCTGTCCACTGCACTTTCCTTTTCTCCATAGGATTGGGGGAATCATCAATCTTTTCAGAATTTGTGTCGTGTTCATTACCATTGCCACCAGAAATGGGAATACTATTTGCTGGTTTCTTTAAGCTACTCCGAAGAGCAACCTTTGGTGAGATATGACTGTCTTCAATAATATTAACACACTGCGTCTGATTGTTGTCCTTGTCAGAAGCAGGACAGCTAGGCAAGACTTCTGGCTGTTGGGTAGGACCAACTTTAAGGGGAGATGGGCTCTCAAGTCCAGCGGCAGCGCGACCAAAGCATACAAAGGAGGCGCACCCGCGGACAACCCTGTTCTTCCCGGAAGCCAGCTGGAGGTCCGGATCAGTTTCTTGGTCCACCAACTGGTACTGATTCCACGGTGCAACTCTCATGGGCTTCTCTTCGTTCTTCTGACCCAAGAGTAGAAGGGTCAGGCCCTTACTATATCCAGAAGCTGAAGACGAGAAGAAACCTCCTCCTTCTACTGCAAATAACATCAGTTCTGCTCATCTGGTCAACATGCAAATGCTTTTGTCTAGAGCTACTTCAACCTTTACAACAACTGCAGCCACCTGCCTCACACTGTCCGTAACTGCTTGTCAGATGAGCAGTGTATGGAATTTTACACATAGGAAAAAAAGGAACACGAAGAAAACAACTGATTTGTACACCACTCATTCTATAACACATATAAGAATGTAATACTCCTTCCTTTCCAATTTATACGACACAATTTCCATTTTTGGAACATCTCAAAAAAATTTGATGTCATTCCATTTCTGCACAACTTCCACAGCCATCAACAATTCATATTAATTTAACTATCAAATTTAAACTTGGATCTGATATTTTGACTTTTAAACTTTTTCAACTGTTACTCTAACATTTTCTTCCAGATCCACTAATACAATATATACGTCAAATCAACTTCTTAAGCTCCTTGCTCAGTCAAACAAAGTCACATAAATTCAAACCATGTAGTAATTTTTTTCCACAAAATCGCCTAAGAAAAAAAATATATGCACATATGAACAAAAAGCTCTAGAATGAGTGCTCCTGATTGTGTACTACTCCATCTCTTTTTTGACTAATTTCCTAAAATTATTGTTCAAACCGCAATAGATAACTGTCAAAAAGGATAACAGTTAAAATACAATTAAATTAATTAATGTACAATTCTTCAACAAATGGATACAAAGCCGTTCATATTATGTCAAATCGAAGTCAAACCAGGTGGACGCTAAAGTCAACACTATATTGACACTACAGATCAACGGCGGAAAACTCCTAAAATAATTCAAAAAGAAAAAATTAAATGATTAACAAAAAAACGAAACTAATCTCTGATTTTTAAAAAAAAAAAAAAAAAAGGATTCCAGCTGCCAATGAACTAACTAGTTTGAATTTCAACATGAAAAAAAAAACAAATCTACGAAAAAATGAGCAATATAAACATCTTAGTTAAATAGTCAAAGATCTAAAAACTCACAAAAATCACAAGCAAAGCTAATTCAACATTAACACTAGAAAACAAATTAAACGAAATACAAAAATGAATAGAAATATCGCACCGCAGCAGAAGAAAGATAAAAATACTCACAGATCTGAGAGAAAATTTTCGGCAAGGACAACTTCACCGGAGCGGCAAATCAATCGGCGATCACTACAGAGATTGTACAAAGTGTATAATATCCGCGCTACGGCGAGAACAAAGCGTCCGAAAAATCGTGAAAATCGCCGAGGAAATGAAGAGCTGAAAGATGAAGAAATAGCTTTATGCGGATATATATATTGTTAGTACTACTATAGAAGAATACTGAATAGTAATGGAGTAGTATATTAGGAAATTGTACTCTTTATGTGCAAATATTATTACTAAAATAGAAATAAAATTGCTATTTTAAGTGACTAAATTAATGGTAAATAAAAAGACATAAAAAAGAAATGGAGATTGGGGAATGCTGTATTCTGACCCGGGCCCGGGCCTTAGTGGGCCTAACGGGCCGGGCTTCATGGTCTCGGGCTCTGGCAGTCCCGGGCTTCGTGGGCTCAATAGGTAGAACCGGCCCGTGACGGGCCTAAGCCCACATGGTCTTGTGCTTAACGGGCCGGGCTCGTGGGCTTCACGGGACTAGCAGGTTTTTTTTTAAGGCAATTTCTTGTAGTATCATGGCTATATTAAAAATTCACTATGTAGTATATATGTAGATCTAATTATTAAAGTGCTTGACGAAAAAGAAAATAACAAAACAATAGTAAAACACTAAATTGTCATGCATAATATATTGTCTTGTAGTATATATATTGTATCTTATGTATATATATTCGCATAATATATTTTCTTGTAGTATATATATTGTATCTTATGTATATAT